GTCCCAAGTAATCAATCGATAACCTGTAAGTTGAGCAAGACAGGCTAAAAACGGAAAAATCAATGAAAACAGAGGAAGGGGAACTCAGTCAATATACAACTCAGACTACAAATGGAACATATTTCTCGAGAAAACTATCAACATCAGCACTGAAATCAACAAAAACGGAACGAGCAGCGCGTACTATCAATCGATAGAACAGAAACATCGAGATGGACTCGAAGTTCGACTGAAAACTGGGTACCGTTCATACTTAGTATTGAAGGAGAATCAGAGGGGGATGAACAAGACTCTTCTTATTGTTTTCGGATTTGGTAGCGCCTTACATGTTCAGAAAGAACTCGCGAAACCGATTCTGGAGAGCAAGCACATTGAAAGGGAAAACGCTGCTTAACTGCTCATATTATAATCACAAAGGTGATAACAACATAATCTCTAGTCAGAAATGAATAGAGAAAGATCTCCGGAAGAGAATAAAAAAATAATCAAGGAAAACGGTTAAGATTCGACGGAGTTATGAGCTTTTACATGACATGCAACGCGCTTCTGGATTCGTATGAACGACCGCTCACTCCAGAAGACTCACTCACGGAATGAACGTGATAAGACGCCGGGAATATTTTTTTTTTCGCGAAAAAATGAAATTCGCCACGTTTCATTTAGAATTTTTCACGTGAAAATAAGCGGTCGTGTACGAGATGTACAGGCTATTATGGAAAACGCCGTAACTTTCTCAAAAATTGACGAAATCGGGAAGTTTTTTTTTTGTTCGACTTCTCCTAATGAACTGAATCGATTAGAATAGAACTAAAGCCGTAAATTTATTTTCCCGAAGAGGAAACAGATGCATTAGAAATGAAATGAAGTGCAAGTCTGCAGAAGGTCGATTATACAACACGAACAAGTCATAGGTATATATCAACAGAGCTGTTAGAAACAAGTATGAAAAGCATTCTAAGAGTTTTTATTAATACATAATTATTACTACAATTACAAACAACTGCGAAATGGTGTTCAGTTCAGAAGAACTCTACCACGAGCATCGACTTGAACTACTTTAGGGGTGCCTGGCTCTTCGTAGGGTGAAGAACCTCTCTTTGAGGCTGGTAGAATATAAGAGCTTTTATGGAAAACGCTGTAACTTTCTCCGAAATCAATCAAACTTAGAAATGTTGGATTAGTGAAAATGAAATGACAGCCGTTCCATTTTGAGAATCTGAAGCGCATGTAGCGGTGATTCATCAGATGTTGACGATAGCACGGAAATCACCGTAACTCTTTTCAAGCCGAACGAAATTTCACTTTTTTTTTGCGTGATTTCTGAACGACGCAGAACACACAGGTAAATATGAAATCTGTTTTCAAACAAACCGTGACCACTTAATTGCGTTAAACATAAAAAAAGAAGAATACATGCACGAAATCCAAACTTCAACGCCACATCAACATGCTCCACTGTTACTGGCATCAACTGGGACCAGATGATAGAGCGTTCTTAACGAATAATTCGTTCATATGTTAGAAACAGTGTTCAGCGGGAAATCACGTACTTCGGGAACAAAATTAAGACTATTGCACGAAATTGAATATGTGAAATATGTGTTTTTTTTCCTATTCATACGCAGAAGGTTCCTGGAGGTACAAGAGAAAGGAAGGGATAGCAGAGTGCTCGAAATGAACTCCCTAGATGCATTCAGGAAAATCAGAAAGATTAACAGAGTTCGAACATGGAAAATATAATAGAAAGCATAAGAGAAAGCAGAAAAGCAAAAAGAAAATGGTTTAAGGCAATCGATACCGTTTTGATTTTGAAAATCGGTCAATAGCAAGAGGTTCTGGACTATTCTGGATCAGAGGTAACCAATCTATAAACCGAACTACGAAGTCTACAACACAGAGTAGAAAACAGTTGATTACAACAATTAGGATGATGTTCAAATTTGTTGATGAAACATCTCAAATCAACAAAGATTGATTGAAGATTGAGGGAGTCGTAGAATTTCTATATTGAGGCTTACCAAGTTAGTTGCAAGAGCACAGCATCTGTTCCGAGTTCATCCAACGACTTGAGATACTTGATTACTCGGTTCCTGAATAGCAAACTACATCTCTATGTTGTGTGTTCTGTTTGAATTCTGTTTTTCTTGCTCACATGTTCTTTCAAATATCTTATTCATTATTAAAAATGTACATAATGTCATCGATGGATATCTGTCCCGTTTGCAAAGGATCTTTCTCTTAAACAGTATTCTGAGTTCGAACAGCATAAGGAGGTGGCTGTGAGTTGAGCCAGTGAAAGACACCAACAAGGTTGATTCCCAGACTGAAGCAAAGAAATACCAACAGAAATACTAAGAAAGTGCATCGTTCAATGACCGTTGCCAGCCAATCATATTCGATTTTCGCTAGATGTCTTGTAGATCTGAAATTACTCAATAGATTGCTTCACAGTTGAAAGCAAGGGTGGTTCATCCGAAGATGCTATATGTTCCAGAAAATGGGAAACAAAGGAACTATCTAAATATGATAGATTGATAACTTACAACACTTCTTCATCCCCCAAATCGCTCAAGATCGAGGCCGTTCGTCGTACGTCCGGTCTTTTACTGAAAATTCATAATTACCAAAGTTTCAACGAGTATATCGAGGTAAACAAAGCTATTTTTCATAACTTGACTGAAAATTATGCTTGAACTTACTATGTCGGAACTGGGGCTGCAACATTGGGGAGAATGGAAGTTGAATCAGCTAAATGATAGACTGAGAGAGGAAATTGTAGAAGAGATAGTTACTTGTTCCATTTTGCATTAACGGTTCAGTTCCATTGCTGCATCCATTAGGTGTAGCTCCAGGATAAGCTTGAATCTAAAGAGTATACGGATAACTTGTGAATGGGAAAATAGGAGTAAGTGAATCATCAAGCAATGTGTGAACCACGGCTAAGTGACATCATTCGCTAAATGTGCGTGATTTGTGGCAAACTCTTTTCAAAAGTTATATAAAGCATGCAATGGAGAACAAATGCTCCAGAAGTGCATAAGCTAACATCATAAATCTAATCACGTTATCTTACATGAGGATTCATATAAGGAGGGTAGAATGCTATCTGCAATAACCGATCACATTGATATCGTTAGATAGAAATCATTTTCATCAAATGTTGCTTCTCATTACATAAACTGTGCAATCTCACCTCATTTCCGGCTGTGAAAATATATTTGGCAAACTGAGCTATTGTTGTTCCTTTGCGCTCAGATTCTTTTGCACTCTTGCGTCCGTTCCTCTGCAGCTTCTAAACGAACGGTTTTGTAAAAGAATGGAACTTAAGAGTTGAAAACACAGTGAGAACTCTCGCGTCATGCTTGATGCTATTAGTCTTTCATAACTTAGAAAGCGTTTACCTTCATGTACACTTTGAAAAGTTTAGCGGACTATAAGAATTGCATGAAAACAATCGAATAAGGAAGTTTTCCTTCTTTATCCTTTCTCTTTCTCCTAAGAAGGAAGTTCTTCTTCCCAGCTTACCTCCAACAGCTTGTCCTTTTTCTGTATCAGATGAGGAGGAATTCTCGTCATGGACAGCGTAGAGAAGAACGTTGTCACTTCAACTGCATTCTTTGGAAGACGCTCACCAACTCTTCCAAACTTTTGTACACTGCAATGAACGATTCAGTCCAATCATCTCATCCATTCTGCTCACCTGATAACGAAAGAAGCAGCCAGAGCACCTATCGAAATTATGAATATCGCACACATGTAGAACCAGCCTTTGAGATGAAACATGATTTATGATGTTTAATAGGAATTTACTGATGAGTGGAATGAAAGTGCTGGTTGATGGCATTTGATCTGATACCATAAGCATAAGAATAGACATTGATAGAAGTGTCGTAATGCATAAAGATATTTTCTCATCTCGTACCCCCGTAGTTGAACTGAAATTGTAAAAAAGCGGTTGGAGAGAGCGGGGATGAAAACACTCGTACCTTGTTGTGAAGAATCCAGTAATGGCTATTAAAGTAATTATGAATGTTGGAATAACTAAATTAACCAAATAGAAAAGTGGTCGTCGTCTGGAAAGAGCCAGAGAGCAATCAGTTTAAGCAGGTCGTGCTCACCTCAAGTACAAAGTGAAATCCAATAGTGTATAGTTATTTGGACAACAAACATACTTTACTTCTTTTCGTAAAGCTGTAATAAAAAGTTTTGAATAAACAACTTCTTTTTCACATGTCTTCAGTCTTCAGACAGCCTGACTGTTCATAAATCATAGCTGAAGCAGCAAAACGAATTATGAGAAGCACATGAATACTCTCACATGCCCATTGTATCAAACAAATATGATAACTATGTTAGTAGTCAGAAAGAATTTCAGAAAAAAGTCTTCCGAGTAACAATTTTTAGACAAATCGTTTACATCGTTAATCAGTTTCGATATGCAAAGATCACTTTCATCATTTACACTGATCATACTGAGTGAAGGTATCGTGCTAGTCGTGCTACGGCGGTGAAGGCGGTGACTTCAGGCTAACTCAAGTTTTCTTCGTTCAAGTTTCATATTCAGATTGTAGAGAGACAAAATAGACATTAGTTGACTTCTGTTGCGGTCTGCTAATATCCCTTTGTCATATATGGAAAACGAAAATCTGTTATTCACGTTCATATTGGAAAGAACTAACTTCTGAAGAAAACATGCAAATTTTGAAGATTTCAACATCTATATCATGACTTCTCTAACGATTCTATATTCCAAAAGACAGAAAACGGTTATAGATGTTTGGAAAACAAAGCGATAGAGAAGCTTATGAGTATCAACACGAAGCTACAAGCAACCAATTATATACGAAAGGATAGTAAGGCGTTGCATGCTAGCTGTGAACGATGAAATGAACAGATGATTGTTTTCTGTTGTTTATGAAATCCCCCATCGTTCACGGGATTCACAGGTACCAGAATCTCTCACCTAACGACCCGAGAAGCTGCCATTCCTCATTAGGAATATAGTTGTGTGTTCCTAATGGCAGCGCCAGTTCACCGCCATCTATTTGCTGGTCTACGGAAGGACCTAATAAGATATGGATGTGTGTGGGCTTTAACACAACATTTTTAAAAAACAACAAGAAAGAGAGTTATCTAGCCGCTATACGTGTTCTAGTTAATGAACGACTAAACGAAATAACAAGAATAGACCTGCAAAACGCTGAAGACTAAATCCTTTTTTCAACTTATATCTTTGACTATTTGCATTCATTTTCATTTCATTTACAAGATCTTACCGCCGGTTGCCATGAGGCTCCATCCCTCATTTGGAAGATAGTTTGATGTTCCCACTTCTTTGGCTAAGGAATCATAGTCTATATCCATGTTATCTGATGTCCAACTACCGAAAATCATGTGACATGTCTGAGAATCAAAGGGGAAAAACTGAAAAAAATATTTTTTGAATAACAAAGCTGAGATGAAGAGAAACCTGTAAGTATAGACGACAATAGAACTTATAGATAGCTGGATACAGAAACTCAACATACGCTCGTTTTCGTTCAAAATCAGTTGTGATTTTGACATAGAGGAGACGCCGTTGGTCATCATCTTTCATGACCAAACTGAAGGAGGAATCAATAGTGATTATTGATTGATTATATATGGTTATACGTATTGTAGAGTGTTGTGTCTGGTATCCATATATGACTGTGATGTAGTTTGATCTCAGTTATATTATCAAAGTCCATTGGGTTCCAATATAGAAACTCATCAAACCACCTTTCAATGACCCAAGCTGAGACAGCTACGAATTGTTGTCGTTCATTCTTAAGCATCAATGAAACATATTGTTTGAGAACCATGACTACTCTACCAATTCTATAATCTGATATAATTCCATTTTGAACATTATTTTGACAGGTTCGCTGATATTTCTCTTGGGTTTGACTATATCAGGGCCTCTCCTCTTAATAACATGTCTCATTAGCTTTTGAGCTGCTGTCGGCTTATATTCTGCAATTGTTTTGCTAATTAAAACAAGAAGCTCTTACTAACCGATTGGCTCATCTTCGGGACCATGAACGAAAGGAATGTTATGGGGCTTATCATGAGGCAATTTGGAGAATGAAGCTCTATTCTGTTGGATTGTAGGTAGGAAAGTATAGAACAGAAGAAGAAGCCACAACATGCTAACCTGTAACGCATAGAAGTTGGATATGAGCTTAAATGAAAGAGGAAATGTAAAGACAGTTCAAGATATATATATATATAAATATATGGAGTAAGAGAGAGAGAGAGAGGAAGAGGGTGAGTGAGCTTGAGAGAGAGAGATAGAGATAGAAACAGTCGGAGTCGAAGCTAATTGAATATATGAAAAGAGAGAGAGAGAGAGAGAGAGAGGGAGAGATTCGGGCTCGGCTGTTTCTTCGTTCGCTCTTTCAAACAAAAACAGAAAAAAAAAAGAATTTCATTTAACATCAATATTTAATGATTTACAAAAGAAGTCGTCTTTACTCATATAATAAAGCATCTGTTGAGGAATTTGAAGTTTTCTTTTTCCCTTTTCTTCTTCTTTTGCCTTTTCTGCTTCCGCAAAACAACGGATCATTACAGTAGACAGACTATCTCATATCATTCACATTTGGAGATCAAAAAAATGGAAGAAGAATCATGCATGTGATGATGGATGTCTTAATGAAAGAGAAACTTTGTGACCTGCTTTCACTTCATTCAAAATTTCAAAATGACCACTATCATCCGCTTATTCCTATTTCTTTTATTTTTAAATTTGATTCTGTGTGACGATAGTAATGATGATGAGGAATACTATAAATACCTTTATAAGTCAATGCAGGTGATGCTCTTTCTCTCCTTCTCTTACTTTACAACTCTCTCTCTACATGTAGATGGGTGACAACATGCGTCGATCAGAAGGTGAACATGGCAACAAGCATCATCATGATTTGGATAGAAAAGTTCCTAGCGAGCCTGTTAAACTGCCAGGTCTATCCTTAATCATTACCAGGACTCATGCATAGTCTAGGTAACTATCAACCTCTTCCTGGCAGATCCACTAATGGGGATTACTGGCCACTGTACCCATTGAGTAATCAATATCATGCAGCGCTAACATTCGATCCCTCTTTTCAAAAAGTTAGTTAAGAATGCTCTGCACTCTCTAGAAATCCTTTTCAGCAAATAGGTGGAGATATAGCTATCCCTATTCCTACATGGGGCTTCTTTGACATAGGAGGACATTACATAGAAAGAGTTCAAGTTCGTTTTGTTTCAATAACAACCGTTCACTCACTATCAAAATATGAAATGAGTTTTTCTTTTCGCGTGGAAAAAACGTGGAATATGCCAATGAAGATAATTGAGAGAGAGATAAAATATTCAAATGATGAAATAATTTTACTTTTGATAGGATTACTGGACCAAAGTCGGATATATGAATAACCCTGTTAACATGTTAGGATTGAACAAGGATCAACTCATTCGCTTGATGTCAGACCCATCACTTTCATATAATAGAGGTGATTACTATTAGTTAATACGAAAGAACGACTCACACTCACTACTATGCTCTATTCCGTATACCAAGAAGAGACACATCAGTAGATGGCGGGAGTTATTCAAACGATAAAAAGGGAAAATGATTTGAAAAATTATTTAAGACTAAGGCAAACACACGAAATAGGTAAAGGTCAAAACACTATGTTAGTGTTTTACGATCATCGTATGTGAGAAGGGTGAGATGAGTTCACTTCCTACAAACTACATCGTGGAAAAAATAAAAAAAAAGCGGAGAGAATTAGAGGAATGATATGCTCTTGTTAGGTTTTAGTAAAGGCAAGGTCAATAACATGATGATGATGATGTGTTGAACAGGAAAAAGCATAAACGATGTGGTAAGGAGAAGGGAAGTTATGAATCTCAAACTCATTATGAAAGGAAGAAGGTTATAAGGTTTCTCTATTGCTTCTAACTTTTAATAATCTTCTTATTAATAATCTTTTTCTAAAAGTTGAGATGTAAACATCTCTAATGATGATTTGAGGATTTAGTTTGTATAACGTCATATCTCTATGTGATTATGGTATACAGTACATCATTCTGATTTGCAGGAAATCAACCGACATTGCCAATGGCTACGATTCCTAAGAATTACGTTCCATCATCCTGCAAACCACCTCTCTGTAATCCATACCAATCACAAGTAGCTGTCGGTGTGAGTTCTTAACTTGTTTATTAAACACGTAATAGAGATGGGAATAGTGAGTGAGATTGAGGAGGAGGGTAAGAACGATGAAATTGACCCAAAATCCACCCATGAACGAAAAAGGAAAACATCTCGGCAAGCCGAGAATATATGATTTGGAAGCAAAAGGAAATAAACAACCGTCCCACATGTCAGCACGCATAAGAATGAAGAACTGACGCGAACGTGAATATGTTTACGTGAGAAATCTACGTGAACTATTAGAATATTAATAAGACAGCAATGTATTACAGGTTGAAGTCAATCAGATGCTCAATGATGGAATTGAAGGTGAATTGGAGTTTCCAATTCCTGTTGGTAAAGATATTGGCTATCGTGTACCCATAAGTGGGAACTTTCATTGTGGTGAGTTTCGTTTGTTCGAAAAATAGTTGAGAAGAGATTTTCTCAATGAAAAAATAATTTTTTTCGTTTAAAATTAATGACAGAAATGAATTGGCGGTATTTGTGGCGTAGACCAAATCATATTGTCTGCCCTATAAATGAGATCATGAGATTGTCGCAAACATTTTAATCCCGATGGCATGAGGCTTCATACGCATTGAGGGAAATACATTTATTTAAATACTTCTATTGCTACTAAATGAGTGAATCGTTCAAAAATCTGTATGATTTGAGCATCTTTAGAAAGGAGGAGAGATATGAGAGATCAGAATGAAAGAGAGAGAGAGAGAGAGAGAGAGAGAGAGAGAGAGAGAGAGAGGGAGAGTTGATGTGGAAGAGGCGAAAGGTCTTCAGAATAACGAAGTTGTTGAACAAGTTTTTTACACTCTGAGAAGAAGTGTAAAGACATAGTTGAAAGTTTCATAGAATGCCATCTTAGTTGACGTTTGAATGAGTAGCAGCTTTTCCTTGGGGAGGAGCATTGGATAGTAAAAAAAGCTTTTGTATTTTTTTTCTATTATGTGCAACTGATATTGTCAGTCTGCATGATGAGAATGGAACTCCAAAATAATTTTTGAGCACTGAAATTGAATGTTCTTTGCAAGCAAGCTTCATCTCTGTTCTGAACTCTGAATTCATATCTTGGTCATATATAGAAGACATAAAAACGAATGAAAAGATTAATTATCTATTTCTTCAGATTTGGACGACATTGTCATTGCATATGGCCAGAATTTGAGTCCCATAGATCCATTCAGGCTCGTTTCAGGAGGAATTGCTCCTATATGGCCTGCTAATCATCAAGCCAAGCAACGTCGTAGAAAACGCCAAACAACGGTATAAAAAAAGGGTTGAGAAATATTGAAGAATGGCTACTATTCATTCAGAGCGCATTGGATTCTTTGATAAGAGAAGAGGTAGCTCTACGAACTGAAGCGGAAGTGGCAGGCGAAGAAGCGACTGAGACCAGAAACGAAGAAGTAGAAGAAGAAGAAGTAGAAGGAGGGGAAGGAGATCATCGTCCTTACTTGTGAGTTTATCTTAATTCCACTTTGTAAAGAGGGTTCGAAACAAACAAGAACTTGGTGTGAAAAAAAGCAGCAGAGCTGGCCCCAAGGCTACAACATTTGAGAGATTTTAAAATTATAATTTGGTCCTTCCGCGTTTGGGCAAAAACAAGTTGTCAGCATAGTGCTGGGAGAGTTGAATGGGCAGTCGACAAGGCATTCAAATTAATAATTGTAATATCAAAAAGATTTGATGATGGGATGATGTACTTGCTCATCCATCAAAAACATCAAAGATAAAATAAAAATAGTTTGAGTTCAGCGACCTTAGTCAGCCCTCCCGAGTGAGAGCCCTCCATCAACTGAACAATGGAAAGCTTTAACTTTCAAGTACAAAAAACCAAAACGAAAGATATTGTTTCTCAGCTTCATCCTCCCTTCCAAATTACTTTTTCATTTGTTTTGCTTTAAGCTACGGCCAAGAATCATGAAGCTTACAGAAGGGGTGTTGCTTCTATTTTGACGAAAAGGCTGCCTCAAAATAGATATGCGTAAAGAGAAGAGAAAGAGAGAGTGAGATAGGACCAAGCAGTGTCTTCATCTTCTTTGTCCTTCTTTCAAAGTTTAATGAAAGATAAGAGAATTAGCCAGCTTTCTTGAATCATGCGAACGGCAATCTCATTTCACTAGCTTCAGCTATAGTCAAGAGTGTCAGGAATAGAAGTTGGTAAAAGAGAGAAAGAGCGAATGAGGAAAATAAAAAGCAAAAAGAACTTCGCATAAGACTTATGCTGTACCTATTAGGCTAATAGAAAAAGGCATTTATATGGTAATAATACACATGTCATATGGTGTTGTCTAACGCGTAGGAGTCTCTCTGAGAGGAGAGTCAGGAAGAACGTAAGGATTTATGAAGTTCTTCCTGCAAGAGGAAAACATATCCTGAAAACGATGTGCAAAATGATGTGGATGAGTTAATATATTTTATGATCCCTGTTTATAGGCAACTAAATAGGTTAAAAACAAAATAAAATGTTAATTTCTTTGTTTCCACCAATGGGACCAGCACTCTCTCTCGCTCTCGACTTCTCCAAAACTTTTTTTTTTGGCAATTTGAAACAGAAAAGGAAAGTCTTAGCTTGATTGAGATTTGAATGCTTGTGAAAACACTTGAGCCAAACGCCTCTAAATAGCTATTTGCGAAGGAGCGCATCCAAGTTTTTCAAATGAGGAAGTTGTATAGAAACAACTCGTAAATAGCGATAGAAAGATCATATAGTTAATTAGAGCATTCGGTCTATCTCTCGCATTTGCTAAAGAAATGAGGAAAATTTCATTAAGCAGGGGACTTGAGATTTTTGGGGCAACAGAAAGGTTTTCCCTCTAACTTCCATATTCGCTGTTAGCCTTCAAAGCCATATTCATGAAAATAAGAAAATATATCATAAATTATTTTTAATTACGAGAGAAGTTATGAAAACTGAAAATGAGCTTATGATGATCATTTAATTAGTTGGAGTGAATAGTCATGAAACAGGAGATGAGATGAGAATCTCATTACACATCTCTCAGCCTCAGTCAAAGCATTCGACTTTCAAGCATTTGAATATTCATTTTTTCCTTTTTCGAAAAGCGAATTGGAAGTTATAAATGAGGTTGTGAACTTTAAGAATGTTTGACTTTCATACTATAAACTAGAAGCCATAACAACATGAAATATTCAGTTGCTTTTCTGAAACAACCAGTTCTTTCATTCCTTTTTTCAATATTACAAGCCTTTCCTTATGACACCCTTATTTAGAGCATGTATGAATGTCGCACTCACAGAGCATGGTCATGAAGGTGGACATGGCGGTGAAGGTGGACATGGCGGCGGAGAACATGGAGGTGAAGGAGGTGAAGAACATGGAGGCGGAGGTGAGCACGAAGGTGGCGGCGAAGGAGAGCACGAATCAGGAGGAGAAACTGGTAATGGAGGACATGGCTCTAGTGGAGGAGAGTCAGGAGGCAGTCATGGAAATACTGATCATGGAGAATCAATGTCAATGATGATGGGGCATATGACAAGTGGAAACGAACATGGACAGAGCACATCTCATGGATAAAACACTTAATAAAATGTAATAAAATTATTTACACAACTACGAAAAGAAAAAAAAATGACATATGTAACATAAAATAATAAATTCGTTAGTAGAATCAGAGCGTGTACGTAGGCAATTTGTGTGTTATATAACACTAGTGATATTTAACCTCATCGTATGTCTAGCTACTTTCGTAACCATTTTCGAGGAATGAATTCAAAATTGAAGCCTCAGGGTTAACTTCGTTACCGTTTTTCTCAGCATCATCTTAAGAGTGGTGCATGGTATCTCATCACCGGCGCTCACAGAACTCGTACCTTCGAGTCTTTATTCACACTCCGCCACAGACAGCTGAGCTGTCTGGACAGTGTATACACACTGTGAAAACCCGACTAGATATTTAAAACAATTTTATGAAAAGGAGAAAAGAGAAAATCTGTTTAAAAAAAGAAACATCACGTCATTAGGATTGAAATATAGTCCAATGTTCGAACAGCATGAAGATAGTGAATAAACGATGACGGTCTGACCATTTGAAGAAGTCACCAAGCTACTAGCATTCTATACATAGTGTATCAGCGCTCATCATCCGCACGCTAGGAGCCTTCAGTGGAACAATGATCAAGTATAGTATTTCTGAGCTTCTTTCAGACATTTCATTAATGAGAAAACATTTTATTCAAAGCTTTCAAATAGGATTGTAAAACAATGTAAGTTTCATATTAAATATGGATAGATTGTGAGACGTCATTTTGGACTGAAGTTTAAGAGAGAGCGAGAGAGGAGGGAGAAGGGAAGCGGGTTTGGAGGTTATTAAGAGCTCATAAGGTATTCGAAACAAAAACTTCGAATGGTAAAGATGCTCAACGAAAAGTTAAAACCAATCAGACAGTTTGTATATGGAAGTAGAGTTGAAGCTGTTGACAGAGCTACTTCCATTTCTTCTGATTACAAGCAAAGGAATAAAGGATCGGATGATGCTTTTTGAAGTCGTTCCGAGCGTATTTGTGAGCATCCATACTACATATCCTTGATGACATTCCTTTCAGAAAAACGATATCACTCGTTTGACTCCTATAGTCGCGGCTTCTCTCTGTTTTTTGAATATGTTAATAGCTTTTCATAAAATGGAAATGATGCGGGGTGATTGGAAGAGCTGAAAAGTAATGAAAGCAAGGTTATGATACTGAGGTCCGCAAACTAAACAATTTCGGATTCTGATGAACGCTATTCACAACATGCCCATATTTGTTTATCTGTTTGATTCTTTGAAGCCATTACAAATCCGGGATGAAGAATCGAAAGCTACCAATTAAGGGAGGAAAGAAGTAAAACTTCGAATTGCTGCGTAACTCTTCATTTCAGTTGTGCAAAATACAAAAACTTTTACTCGCGCATCAAATTGAAAACATTCTTCGTTCTCTTTCGGGGATTTTGGAAATCAGCATGAAAGCTGGTGAGCGTACTAGCCTTATCAGACATGACCCCATTTCGAAAATGAAAGGCTATTCTTCCAAATTTCATCCGGTTCAGCTTGGCCAAAACCTGGCTTTCATCGTTGAACTTCCACTTTTTGACTTCATCTTATTCACATAACTTTCGTTTATTGTTACAATTCCCATTTCCTCTCTAATACATTCAAATCATGAGGATTCAGGAAATGAAGTATCGCATTCATCGTTCCATTCTCTTTCTCTTCCTCTCGCTCAGTCTCAACTTATCTATTGTTGGTTCTGTTAGCGATTTCGAAGTTGCTCTTTCACGCTTACGACGATCAACAGAGCAAGATGGCTTCTTTGAGGAAACAGAAGCAGATGTAGATGATAAGACAGAAGATAACGATGAAGATAATGATTCGAAAGACAATTATTATCAGTTTCTTTACAAGCGTATGAAACAAGCTGCTGAACCCGATGAAGAACCTCCTAGGAAAAGACCTGTCCTCAAACCGACCCCATACTTCATTCCAGGTGTTTTTATTAGAGAAGTTTCTACTTAGACACTGGTTATAGGTCCGCAAGAGCCATTACCAGGTCGCAGTCATCAGGGTAATTATTGGCCTGTGTTTCCTTTCCACAATCAATTCTCCGGAGGTTTGGACTTGGATCCCTCTATTTCTAGAGTACTAAACTTTCAACCCCTACATCTTCCCTCCAACCAAAATAATTTCAGCATATTGGAGGTGATTTGAACATTGCAGTTCCATCGTGGGGGATACTCGACATTTATGGAAGATGGTTCAATAGGTTAAGTGTATTATTCAATACTTGCTAGTGCCCTCTCTCTCTATCGCTCGAAGATCTAGTATGCTAAAGTGCGCGGCTATTTAATGACTTGAGAGATAGCGCTGGAGTATGTAAGCGTTCGTGGTGTAATGGTCAGCATGGATGCCTTCCAAGCATTCGACGGGGGTTCGATTCCCCCCGAACGCATAGTTTTTGCTTTTTCGCTAATCCTTTTTTTTCAAGAATTCACGATACAACAACTAAATTCGGATATATGGCCCAACCGGTTAACATGATGGATTTGGAAAGAGAAGATTTCGTGAAGTTAATGAGCGATCCTTCGCTGCATGCTAACAGAAGTCAGTTTCTCTCCTGGAATAAAAAACATTTTTAAAAAACAAAACGTGAAACAACTAGTTGTTGCTGCTATTTTATCATACCTGGATGAAATCAGTCAAATAGCATACATTCTTCAGACTTCCAACCAACGTTGCCTCTTGGTAAAGTTGCAAAGAGCTACACCCCATTGAACTGCAAGCCGCCTTTGTGTAATCCATACCAGGGTTCATACGGATTTGGCGTAAGCCTTTTGAACTATAATTGAAATAAGAATTGAGTGTTCCAGGTGGAACATGATGTTGGAGGTCATGATGGAGTGGAAGGAGATATTGATGTACCTATTCCAATCTCTAAAGGAGTTGCATACCGCTTCCCCATATCAGGAAAAGTTTACTATGGTGAGGGGATATTGCGCTTCGAAAAGATCATGAGATACCTTGTTCAGATCGCGATAACATTACAATCACTTATGGTTCTAACCTCAGCCCCATGGATCCATATAGTAGTCTGTTCGATTACCAGAAATACAGAGATCCAGGCTTACGAATTCCAAGAGCCAAACGAGATATAAGCTTCTCTAAGAAAGTAAGTTTTGAAAACGGAATCTCTTGTTATTTTCGATTTTCCGTGCCGTTAGGCTTATATATTCTTCAAGACTAGTTCGCACTTTCTCCCCATGATCAAGTGGAGGCCCCCTTTTTTCACGTAATCTCTCCCCCAGCTGGCTTGCGCATTGTCAAAGCGTTTCGTACCGTGATTGAAAAAAGCTTAATAGATGTAAAGCATGATTCAAAACTTGTGCTTCATAAAAACAGAGAAGTGTTTGACCCTTACATGGGAAAACGACAGAGCGCCTTGAAGTCTGCTTGTTTCATCTTTTTTCGTAAAGATTCCTTCAAAAACATGGAGTTGCTTTATGTTACTTTACACTTTTCAGGTTTGGGAAAGCGAATCTGACGCGAAAACATTCAGCGAGCACTTACGCAGAGGATATGAACCTGAAGCAGAACTGTTCAGATCCAAGTTAACACAAAGACCCTCTACATACCATCTTATGGATGCTGGCGATGAAAAGGCGATCACGATCTCTAAGAAAGAACTCCAAAATATAATGATGGACGATATTGAACAGGAAAAAGCTAAATTATTCCCAAATTTTTATCCATATCAATTTGGAGAATCAGCTTATTCCTACGATGGGCTTTATGGAGACCCCTACGAACTTGATCAACCATATGATGTAATTGTTTCAAGCCCTGTCGATCTTGACGCAGCATCGGGTTATATCGATCTATTCAAGAGGAATTATTTTGATAATTTCTATAGGAGTGACCTTTTGAACCCAATTCATTATCCATCCACAGTTAATAGCCCGATTCCGTATTATGCATATCCCTTCCCCACGAGTTATTTACCACCAACGCCTTGTTAGCTTTGAGATAGCGATCTAGTCGCGTCGAGTCAACACACTGATGAAGTTATAATAATAATAATTTTTAATAAAACATATTTATTGGCATGGTATTTACAATAGGTTGAAATAATAAGAGTCCGTCAAGAAAACAAAAAAAAAGAGAAAGACAGGATTATGTATAAAGACAACACTTGTGTACAGAAAGTGAAATCGTTGTGAAACGACATGCGCTACCCGCTGAAGATCTGCGTGAATTGAGTAAAAATGAAATTGATCGTTTACCGATACTGTAATCTAGGTGATCGAAAGTCTAAAGACCGATATACAAAACGAAAACGAATAGTTAAGGTCGAACATGTTATAGGAGCTTCATCAAATCAGCCTAACCTTGAACTACGTCATAGTAATCGATGTTTGCATCCTTGTTTTCAGCCAAGGATGATTTACACTTGTCTCCGTAGCAGTAATCAGCTGAAATTCGTATTCTGTCATTTTCAAAAGCAACTTCGGAGGTTGTTTGTTCAAAATCAAATATAATTGGAAGATGTATTCCTGAAAGAGAACAAGTTGCACGAACAAGTGACTTAGTGTAAAAACCTCCTCTGAGTTTTTTGGCCATGTCCTCATTCAGTATTAATTCAGTTAAAGCATTGACGAGGAATTCCAGGGAGTTCTCATCAATTCCATCAACCAACGAAGCAACCTAAGATATACTTTGGTGAACGGAGAGGAAATTCTATCAAACTTCATCAATCTTGAACTTTTCAATATGCATATCCGCATTCAAAACGTAATTACTGAAAGAAACTTTGTCCAGCTTGATTTCAGCATTCATTCCAGCTGTTAAGAATCGGCGACTTCTTTCTCCTTGCTAAAACGATCTTGGATTTGATAATGCTTTTCACTGGTACCTGAACAAATGCATCGACCTTGGAGTCAATATAAATAGTTATATTATTCTCTTTTATAACCATTTTGGGGTATGAAATGGTGTGTGACTTAATAACAACTTCTCCATCTGGGAAACGTTGACCCAAAGCTAGAAAAACAAATTATGTCAGCTACTCCTCTCGTTTTCCCACCTGGGAACAGAGTTCCAGCACAAATATCATCGGAGGGGCAGTTGGTCTTGAGATATCCAGTAATAGCAGAGTTGTTTTGAGCGGTGCGACTGATCTCATAATCGAACTTTCTATATTGATACTGTTGAACTTGAATGTTGATATATGCACAACCTGTACTGATCCATCCAGAATAACAAACTGCTTACGGTGTAATTTGAAAGATAGAAGTCAACCATTTTTCCACTAGGTGGACCTTCAATGTTGAATGGAACACTTCGGAAAGGTAGTCTGAAGTCGTTCAATCGGGTACGTCCTGAAACATTGTCTCGCTATACAATATGGTTTTCGCCGTATGGTACCCTGGCGGAGAATTCCGAAAGCGTTGCCCCTATGTCTCAAAATGACTTCATTCTCCCGGAACTCAACTGGTCCAAGTAATCCTTAATGCTCGATTAGACAGGTTTTTTTCATTTGTTTTTTTACCATAATTCAAAAAGTACTGTTCGAAAAGAGCTGCACTCATTGGTGTGTTCATCAGCCGATTGGAAATAACTGGGACAAGCTCGGCATGGAAGGTTGGACATATTACCTGAATAAGTAAACTACAGAATTCACCAAAAAATTATTCTAACCTGTTCCATGTGTTCCTTAATGAACTGCATAACGTGTGGCAAGTAATTAGAGAGAAGAACAGAATCAGATTGAGAGAAACGCAATTGAATGTTGTTAGCAGCAACCTGAGGGCATAAACTTGATCACAACCGAATGTTTTCCGCAAAACCAACCTTGCAAGTGACTAGATCTGTCTTAAGGTGTCCATCGCTGTTAACTCCAGTCCACAAAGAAAGTTCGACGTTTGTCCTGCAAATAAGAGTTCAGTTCCAGCAGTTATACTCCAGAAACGGTTTAACCTGTCGAAGGAAAGAGGGACGAAGCCGCTTACATCTCCAGATGGAGTACTGAGAACAAAATGAGAATTAACCGTAGCATTAATGTTTGAACCCTAAGAGATAATAAGTTTTATGGATTCGGATATCATCCGTACCGTCCAAGATAGACCCTTTCCTGGAGAACTGATTATACGAGAGCTGAACGAATTAGTATCAAAACTTAAAATACGGGCTGCAGCCAGAGTGAAACGAGCCTAAAGAAGAACGGTTAAGATGTTTCTGGTTGACTATCTCACTACCTCCTCGGAGAGAGAAGCCGAAATATTGAAAGGTAAATCTCCTGCATTCATAAAACGTAGAACTCTATCACTTAAGTGGGAGGAAAGTAGGTCAAGACCTTTCTGATTAATTCTGGTAATGAATCCTGGATAGGTTCCTGTTTCAGCGAAGAACGAATCTGAGAAGAAGCTGATTAGATAAGACAAAAACTGAGATACTCACTGGCTAAGCTCTGACAGTAAACTGCAGTCGTTAAATAGATTAAAGTTAATATCCTTAACATTGTCTTGACTTAACTCCTGAAACAAAAGAATAAATCAATTATATTTTAGAATTTTTAAGCAGAAATATTATCTTCGATACAATCAATAAATCAACGATGCCCATGATGAAGGAAGACGATATTAGATAACCGGA